CGATCATTTTAGCTGAGCAGCCTATCATTTTCTGCACTTCTTTATATGTTTTCCCCTCTCCAATCAACTTTTTAATCAAAGTACGTTATTCTTCTGAACAATGTCTAGAACAACCCATTTTCCTCAGAATTTCAGAGAGAAATGCACTATAACCAGCATGATCAACATTTGCTGCCTTCCTTCCTTAAATAAGGGCAATAATTGCCACCTGTTTTTCAAATAATGAATGACCTCACTAATAGAACTCCACACTGCTATTATTTTGAATATGCCCCTCTCAATTAGTGATTCAATTACACAGAATCAGCAGCATGCATGTCATGACTGTTGGGTCTGTTGGATTTCTATTACTCTACTACACCTGCTAGTAAATGATTTGCCATGTAGAAATATAATTTCTAACAAAAACAGTGATTGATCAGGTTAGTGATGTCTGACTGCTATTATTTTGAACACAACTGTATATATATATATATATATATATATATATATATATATATATACACTACATGTTGAAATGCATTTTTATTACAAAAAAATTTTTAAAAATACATTTCAAATATACTGTATGTCTTTAAAAATACAAATCTACATTTTTGGAATGCATTTATAAATATATATATATATTTTTTAAATATATTATTCAGATTTTTTTTAACGTATAAAAAAAGTAATTTTAACATATATTTTTACATATAATTGTTAATGCATTCCAAAAATATAGCTTTGATATACAGTATATATACTTCAAATGTATTTTTAAACATTTTTTAAATTTATTTTGTAATAAAAACGCAATTCAACATGCAATATATATATATATATATATATATATATATATATATATATATATATACAGTGGGGATCGAAAGTTTGGGCACCCCAGCTAAAAATGTGTATTAATGTGCATAAAGAAGCCAAGGAAAGATGGAAAAATCTCCAAAAGGCATCAAATTACAGATTAGACATTCTTATAATATGTCAACAAAAGTTAGATTTTATATCCATCATTTACACTTTCAAAATAACAGAAAACAAAAAAATGGCGTCTGCAAAAGTTTGGGCACCCTGCAGAGTTAATATCTTGTACTGCCCCCTTTGGCAAGTATCACAGCTTGTAAACACTTTTTGTAGCCAGCCAAGAGTCTTTCAATTCTTGTTTGAGGTATCTTTGCCCATTCTTCCTTACAAAAGTCTTCCAGTTCTTTGAGATTTCTGGGCTGTCTGTCCCGCACTGCTCTTTTAAGGTCTATCCATAGATTTTCAATTATGTTGAGGTCAGGAGATTGTGAAGGCCATGGCAAAACCTTCAGTTTACGCCTCTTGATGTAATCCCCCCATGGATTTCGAGGTGTGTTTAGGATCATTATCCATTTGTAGAAGCCATCCTCTCTTTAACTTCAGCTTTTTCATAGATGGCATCAAGTTACCATCCAAAATTTGCTGAAATTTTATTGAATCCATTTTTCCTTCTACTCGTGAGATGTTCCCTGTGCCACTGGCTGCAACACAACCCCAAAGCATGATTGATCCAACCCCATGCTTAACAGTTGGACAGAGGTTCTTTTCATTAAATTCTGTGCCCCTTCTTCTCCAAACGTACCTTTGCTCATTCCGGCCAAAAAGTTCAATTTTAACCTCATCGGTCTACAGAACTTGTTTCCAAAATGCATCAGGCTTGTCTATATGTTCATTTGCAAAGTACAAACGATGCTTTTTGTGGTGAGGACGTAGAAGAGGTTTTCTTCTGATGACTCTTCCATGCAGACTATATTTGTACAAGTATCTCTTTATAGTGGAATAGTGTACCACAACTCCAGTGTCTGCCAGATCTTTCTGGAGGGATCGTGCAGTCAAACGTGGGTTTTGAATTGTTTTTCTCACAATCCTGCGAGCTGTTCTGTCTGATATTTTTCTTGGTTTTCCAGATCTTGCTTTAACTTCCACTGTTCCTGATGACTGCCATTTCTTAATTACATTCCGAACAGAGGATATTGACATCTGAAAACACTTTGCTATCTTCTTATAGCCTTCTCCAGCTTTGCGAGCGTCAACTATTTTCAGTTTCAGTTTTCTAGACAACTGCTTAGAAGAACCCATGGTGTTGATTGTTGGGGACAAGGTCAGATGAGTCTGGGCATTTAAAACCTTTGAGATTGACATCACCTGGTCTTCCCAGACGATGATTGAGAACAATCCATGACACTGGCAGGTCTCAGCTTTGCAAAGGGGGCACTGCATGCTATAAATTCTGCAGGGTGCCCAAACTTTTGCAGACGCCATTTTTTTGTTTTCTGTTCTTTTGAAAGTATAAATGATGGAAATAAAATCTAACTTTTGTTGACATATTATAAGAATGTCTAATCTGTAATTTGATGCCTTTTGGAGATTTTTCCATCTTTCCTTGGCTTCTTTATGCACATTAATACAAATTTTTACCTGGGGTGCCCAAACTTTCGATCCCCACTGTATATATATTGAATATTGGCAAAATTGTAGCATTTCAAATATATGTCAATATATTTGGTAAGAATATTTTTAAAATATATTTCAAATATACTGTATTTTTCTTCCATGTGGGTGGAGTGATTTCTTCTACGTATTGTGGCTCCCAATAGGAATCTTAATCCTTCCTTCGAGGGTCAAACACAAGACCTGCAGGCCAAATGCAGCCAGCCAGCCCATGTGGTACTCATACCTCTCTTGCAGGTGCGTCACCCCCCATCTCATCTCTGTTCCCACCTTGTTTCAGCATTTGCTAGCAGAGGAAGAGCAGAACTTATCCTACAGATCCTACACCTCTCTGTGCAGTCGCAGCACCCCCTCGTCTCCACCTCCCCTGGTATCAGCATTCAGTTGACTTGGGCAGCTGACTCCAGCCCTCCACTGGTTCTCCTCCAGACCCTGCACTTTCTACTTCCCAGCTAAACCCCCAGCTTCTTCCCAGCAGCAGCACATGGTAAGGGGGTGCACTGTGATGTAAAGGAGGGTGGTGGACTCTTGGCTTCTGCTGGTGGGGACCCTTGAAATCTGATGTAATGGGGGGTGGGGTGCCCTGGACATCTCGTCTTACAGATACAACTGGCCCTTTGAGGGCAATATAAGGCTGATTCAGCTAGCGATTAAATAGATTTTGACATCCCTGTTCTGAGTTATCTAAAAGAAATAAAAAATAAATTTTAAAGGACAACTTGTATCTTAAATATACAGTACTTGTTCCTGCCCCCTGAGTGCAACCCACCTGGTCAAATACTTACCTTCCTCCCTCCATTCCCTGTGAGATCCTACTTGGGACCACATAGCTTATCCAACACAACAAACACTTTTCTCTTGCGCTAGGAAAAGACTCAGTAGACCCAATAGGGATGTTCTGGAATTTTCTGGAATATGCACTGCTTGCTGCCCTCAACAGACCGGGGTGGTCCAAATACACTGGATGCAAATGGAGAAACAGAAAAAGGGTGCACCGATCTAGTGCATTATCGTTTAAAATATTTATTGAAGAAACAAAGTATCATACTCACAATAGACATAAAAACACAGGCATGTCAAACTGAACAAGATGTATGATCCAAACAACATCTGAGTCCATAAGATGGAACCCTGGATGACCAACTGGCTAACGCATTTCGAGGACACAACCTCTTCCTTAGAGCCAACCTCTAAGGAAGAGGTTGTGTCCTCGAAACGCGTTAGCCAGTTGGTCATCCAGGGTTCCATCTTATGGACTCAGATGTTGTTTGGATCATACATCTTGTTCAGTTTGACATGCCTGTGTTTTTATGTCTATTGTAAGTATGATACTTACTTTGTTTCTTCAATAAATATTTTAAATGATAATGCACTAGGTCGGTGCGCCCTTTTTCTGTTTCTCCATTTGCACCACATATCTTATGTTTGGAAATGATCCTTGCCAGGTCCTCTTCTTACTGTACATGCACCCCATTCATACTGTACAATTGGATGGGCCATTTGGAAGGTAAACATCTTACACAACATGTTGCACTAAGGCAGTTGTTCTCAACCTTCCTAATGCCACGACCCTTTAATACAGTTCCTCATGTTGTGGTGACCCCCAACCATAAAATTATTTTCGTTGCTACTTCATAACTGTAATTTTGCAGTGGGAGGAATAGTGCCCCATTGTTGGTGTCAGTGGGAGGAATAGTGTCCCATCACTGATGTCAATGGGAGGAATAGTGCCCCATCATTGGTATCAGTGGGAGGAATAGCGCCCCATCATTGGTATCAGTGGGAGGAATAGTGCCCCATCATTGGTGTCAGTGGGAGGAATAGTACCCCATCATTGGTATCAGTGGGAGGAATAGTGCCCCATCATTGGTGTCAGTGGGAGGAATAGTGCCCCATCATTGGTGTCAGTGGGAGGAATAGTGCCCCATCATTGGTGTCAGTGGGAGGAATAGTGCCCCATCATTGGTATCAGTGGGAGGAATAGTGCCCCATCATTGGTGTCAGTGGGAGGAATAGTGCCCCATCATTGGTGTCAGTGGGAGGAATAGTGCCCCATCATTGGTGTCAGTGAGAGGAATAGTGCCCCATCATTGGTGTCAGTGGGAGGAATAGTGCCCCATCATTGGTGTCAATGGGAGGACTAGTGCTCCATCATTGGTGTCAGTGGGAAGAATAGTGCCCCATCATTGGTATCAGTGGGAGGAATAGTGCCCCATCATTGGTGTCAGTGGGAGGAATAGTGCCCCATCATTGGTGTCAGTGGGAGGAATAGTGCCCCATCATTGGTATCAGTGGGAGGAATAGTGCCCCATCATTGGTGTCAGTGGGAGGAATAGTGCCCCATCATTGGTGTCAGTGGGAGGAATAGTGCCCCATCATTGGTGTCAGTGGGAGGAATAGTGCCCCATCATTGGTATCAGTGGGAGGAATAGTGCCCCATCATTGGTGTCAGTGGGAGGAATAGTGCCCCATCATTGGTGTCAGTGGGAGGAATAGTGCCCCATCATTGGTGTCAGTGAGAGGAATAGTGCCCCATCATTGGTGTCAGTGGGAGGAATAGTGCCCCATCATTGGTGTCAATGGGAGGACTAGTGCTCCATCATTGGTGTCAGTGGGAGGAATAGTGCCCCATCATTGGTATCAGTGGGAGGAATAGTGTCCCATCATTGGTGTCAGTGGGAGGAATAGTGCTCCATCATTGGTGTCAGTGGGAGGAATAGTGCCCCATCATTGGTATCAGTGGGAGGAATAGTGCCCCATCATTGGTATCGGTGGGAGGAATAGTGCCCCATCATTGGTGTCAGTGGGAGAAATAGTGCCCCATCATAGGTGTCAGTGGGGGGAATAGTGCCCCATCATTGGTATCAGTGGGAGGAATAGTGTCCCATCATTGGTGTCAGTGGGAGGAATAGTGCTCCATCATTGGTGTCAGTGGGAGGAATAGTGCCCCATCATTGGTATCAGTGGGAGGAATAGTGCCCCATCATTGGTGTCAGTGGGAGTAATAGTGCCCCATCATTGGTGTCAGTGGGGGGAATAGTGCCCCATCACTGGTGTCAGTGGGAGGAAAAGTGCCCCATCACTGGTGTCAGTGGGAGGAAAAGTGCCCCATCACTGGTGTCAGTGGGAGGAATAGTGCCCCAACGTTGGGTCAGTGGGAGGAATAGTGCCCCATCGTTGGTGTCAGTGGGGGAGGAATAGTGCCCCATCGTTGGTGTCAGTGGGGGGAGGAATAGTGCCCCATCGTTGGTGTCAGTGGGGGGAGGAATAGTGCCCCATCGTTGGTGTCAGTGGGGGGAGGAATAGTGCCCCATCGTTGGTGTCAGTGGGGGAGGAATAGTGCCCCATCGTTGGTGTCAGTGGGGGGAGGAATCGTGCCTCATCGTTGGTGTCAGTGGGGGGAGGAATAGTGCCCCATCGTTGGTGTCAGTGGGAGGAATAGTGCCCCATCATTGGTATTAGTGACACCAATGATTGGGCACTATTCTTCCCACTGACACCAATGATACTTACCTTGGTGACCCCTGCTCCAGCCTGGGCTCGCTTGCTCCCTCCCTCTCCCATGGTACAGACACTTACTGGTCAGCTGTCTTTCTTCTCCGGCCGCTCTCCTCCTCTTCACTCGCTCGATCTTTGCGGTGCCGCTCGGCTCCTCCTCTCCAAGCTCCACCTCCTCGCCGGTGATTGGCCGCCTGTGTGCCTCTCCTGAGCTACAGTTCCGGCTGCCAATCACCGGCGAGGATTGATCCCGGGGGTGTGTCCAGATGACAGGGGCGGCATGTCATCCCACCCACACCTGGAGACGGATAGAGGAGCGGTGTCTCGGTTCCTAAGACCATTGAAAATATGTGTTTTCCGATGGTCTTAGGCGACCCCTGTGAAAGGGTCGTTCGACCCCCAAAGGGGTCGCGACCCACAGGTTGAGAACCGCTGCACTAAGGGGAAGAGGTGGGAACAAATTGTAGGACCTCTTATATGAATAGTACAGTTGTCCTTTATAAGTTATATAAACAACTTTAAATTATCAATTTCTAGTTGAACATTTCAACCGATCCTTTAATTGGTTGGACTTTTAGTATGATATTAGTTTTAATGAATAGATGTTACTAGACCTGAACATTCATATACTTTTTTAGGCCTGTAAAATTGACAGAAGTTCTGGTTTATGCTTAAAAAAAGAAAAGTTACACAACAAAAGAGGTGTGAAATGAAAAATAAACTAGCATGAAGGATACGTGTACAAAAGTCGACTATAATGAGCTCACCGAGCAAGCTGCAGAGAAGAATGACTGAAAGAGATTAAGCAAATAGAACCCAGGTGGTAGAGAAGTGGGATGCTAGAAACTATTTGTGTACATCTACTGACACAATACGTTATCATTTCACGCACAGGTGGGAGATGAGCGTCATATTGATCACAGTCAAGACCTGCAAAAGGCAATATCTACCCTTCTGAGATTACAAGGGTATATGGAAGGTTTTTACAGCATGACCCATCCACCAGTAATTTTCCACAATTTCTTTATGGCTGAACGATAATTTGTTTTCTTTTGTATTTTTAACCATTTCCATACCGGGCACTTTTACCCCCTTCCTGCCCAGGCCAATTTTCAGGTTTCAGCGCTCTCACACTTCGAATAACAATTGCGCGGTCATACAACATTGTACCCAAACAAAAATTTTATTAATTTCTTCACACAATTAGAGATTTCTTTTGTTGGTATTTAATCACCACTGGGGTTTTTATTTTTTGCTAAATTAACAAAAAAAGACCAAAAATTTTGAAAAAAAAAACACAGTTTCTTTGTTTTTCTGTTATAAAATTTTGCAAATAAATAATTGTTCTTCATAAATTTAGGCCGAGATGTATTCTGCTACATGTCTTTGGTGAAAATAATCCAAATTAGGATGTATTATTTAGTCTGTAGGAAAGTTATAGAGTTCACAAACTATGGTATAGATCTGAAAATTGATCAATCCTGAAGTACTGACGGCCAATCTAATTTCTTGAGGTCCAAGAATGTCAGAACAGTACAGATATCCCCCAAATGACCCCTTTTTGCAAAGTAGACAGTCCGACGTATTTCATAAGTGGCATGGCGAGTTTTTTGAAGTTGTAATTTTTTTGTCATAATTTTTCGGAAATGAAGAAATAAAAAAAATTATTTTCACTAATTTTTTTTTTACATACTGTCACCAGTGCAGTACAGCGTCATCATATAACTGGAATGGCGGCGATCAGGGACACTGACTGGTGACAGTACGAAAAAAAAAAATTGATAATTTTTTTTATTATTTTTAATTACATTTTTTCTCTTTTTTTAAGATTTTTTTCAAATTTCACTATGACCAAAGTAGTGTAATGTTACCATAGTAACATTGTACTACTTTGGGGAAGTGATCAGTATTTTCTTTTTTTTTTTACACAATTTTATTATAGCAAAGAATTTCTTTGCTATAAGCAAGCATTTACCTGAACGAAATAGATTCATTCAGGGTTTTTTTTTGTGCTTAGCTGTGATTGGCCATGGCTAATCACATGACACAGCTGGGCTGTGATTAGCCCAGCTTGTGCATGTGATCGCTGCACCCATTCACAGCTAGACACAAAAGTATACAATGGATGGCATGAAAGGAAGCCATCCATTGTATACAACTGTCATGTGACCTGCTGTGATTGGTCACAGCAGGTCACATGGTACTGGCAACAGGGCCGGTACACAGATCTGTCATTGTCCGTGTCTGAGGTACATGGCCAGTGACAGATCGCGCCGCAGCGCAGCTCTGCGGGCAGGCAAACCGCATGCCTGAAAGGACGCCACAAGGCATCCACCTGGAGGGACAAGCCGCTCGCCCGGCCGCCATCTGGTGGTGCCGTTAAGTGTGCACATTTTTTAATATTTCCATCCATATGTTTGGCATGCGTACTGGTGTCCTTCACCCCACATTTGTCTTATAGTAAGGCAGGTCAAATCTCTCTTTTGGATCTTTTCTTTGTAATATGTATATGTTAGAAATTCTACAGCATATATAGCCCTACTGTCATGTACCTGATAGAAGTCTGAATTGACGAGGTCAGCCTCTCTTGTATCTCCAAGCCAGGCCCACTGAAGGTGGAATAGATGGTGCAGAGGGACAGGAGAAACACGAGTACCTGCGGATATTGATTGCAGAACTTGCAGCTGGAGCTGTAACCTCGGTAAATCAAGCAGGGCATCAGTCGGGAACAGAGGAGATACCGGAACGGCCAGCTGAGGTTAAGGAAGCACTCCACTGGAACTGCAAGATCTGGGTATGTGGCTTGCCGGAACTTCTGATAAGCGTGAGGCCGGAACACACTGTGACAACCGGAGCTGATGTAATAGATAGCCATGACAAGCATTCGGCAGGACTGTAGAGCCAACCTGAAGCGCAGTCAGAGTAATAGCCAGGGTCAGCAACGAGCAGGCGATGAGGTACCGGAACATCAGACAGGGACAAGGTCAGGAGGAAGCCAGGATCAGAAACCAATAAGCGATTCTAATGGCACGCCGCCCACACTGGAAAAATGCACCGTACTGGGAACCGAGGTTCCCGTGTGGGCAGCGTTTTCAGAAGAAGGGCAGGGACTTCTTCTCTGCGTGTCATGGGGCACGGGAGTCCATTCAAATGAATGGGCTATCGTGCCCACGCAAAACGCAGCCCGCTCGGCCGCATATATGTGCACCAGGGCTTAGTTTGCTCAGAAAAAGATATTTTCCTCTTTCCCCTTTTTCTCTGTGGGCACTCTGTTTTCTCTCATGTGGCCCTATGCAGTACAATCTATATTTGATATCATTTTTGTATGTATACCTGGACATTGGGTTATAACCTGAAATATATTGTCATATACCCCATTGGATGACATCTAAATCCTCAGTGTAGCATATCCTGAAAAAGCAACTATTGTGAAATGCATCATTATTCCATGCTGCTCTTATGTGACTGATGTAAATGTCTCAGGATTAGACATGTGCAATTTGTTTAGTTTCTAATCTAAAATTAAGAAAAAAAAACTGCATGGGATCCCCCCAAAATCAATACCAGACCCTTATACGAGCATGCAAGGGGCCCCCCAGATCCTGCTCCTCCCCCCATGTGAATAAATATGGGGTACATAGTATTCCTATTCATTCACCAAAAAAAGTCAAAGTGAGTAAAAACACACCTTCAGTTTTTGACAAGTCCTTTTTTTAAACACGCCGAACACGACTGTTTCCATCCAGGGACACAGCTGAATGACAGGTAAAGAGAGGCGGAGGTTACCTGGGTGACACCATCCCAAGTCTACCTCTCATTGGGCAAGTGTGATTGTGGGGCAGGGTAACCCAGTGACATCACTGCATAACCCCGCCTCCATGTTTATCTGTCATTCAGGAATGACAATCACGCAACACAGCTAGACATGGGGGGCGGGATCACCCGAAAAAGTCACCGGGTAACCCCTGCCCCTGTGTTTACATGTCAGATGGCTGTGTCCCTGGACGGGAACAATCGTGTTAGGCAGGCAGCATTTTGTTTTTCTCTGATCAGCTTGACGCGCGTGGTTTTATTAACACACCCATTCTCATACTCATACCCCATACTCATTCACATGGGGGTGTGGGATCTGGGTACCCCCTTGTGAAAGAAGGCTTCCAGACTCCAATAAGCCCCCCACCCTCAGACCCTACAACCACAGCCCAGGGTAGTAGGGAAGAAGTGTACTCGTTTATGCTGTGCACTGTATAATACAGTTATGTACTTAGATATTTGCCTGGAATTCAGCTTTAAAGGTAATGTTACCCCATGTACCACCATGCATAACACTTCACAGTGAGCAGAAAAAAAAAATATCAACCTGCTGAAAGGAACTGCAGCTCCATTTATGGTAGTCATTACTGTAGCCTAGATTCGATAGCTACATACTTTTTAAAAATATCGGAATTTTTCAATTTTTCTATTTCACAGATGTGTCCTTGTGGCTATCACTGCCATAAACAGGGATGCTTTTCTTCATCAACTACAGTAAATCAAAAAGTTCTAAATATAATTTCAGAGACAGCGGGATTTGTGTCCCTATGAACATCTTCCAAAGTCGGTATGTCACCCTTATATTATATTCTCCTAAACAATGCTGCAACTGAAATTACGTGATAGAAATGGTATTTCTTGTTTAGGTGGAAGAATACATTTTTAGTTTACTTCTTTTTTTTTTTTCTTTTTGATTGTTTCATAAACCACACTGTCGCTAATGAGCAGTTACTTTGCCTCCCACACACACAGAACAATATTCTTTGTTAGCCATCAAGACACCTAA